ATCAGTGAGAATTTCTTCCTTCATATGAAGCCATCCATATTCTTCGGTCGGTTTCATCAGCAACGCTTTAATGAATAACGCTTTGAAGATGCGATTCTTCTGAAGCATACTCTCAAGATTCGTTCAATGAAAGGATGTTTGATCGGATAAGGTGGGGAGCGAAAGAGTGAAAAGAACGAACATGAGGAAGGAAATATTGAATAGACTGAAAATATGTGAGGCAAATAATTCCATGAGCGAGATCATCACAATTCCGCTTATTTTTAGTCGAAAACTGTCATTCCGAAGTAAAAAAATTCCGAAAGTTGAGGTCATTGACAACACACAGCGTCGTGATTCAGTTCGTTCCATTAAACACTTATAAATCTTTCATTATTTTTCAGAGAGATCGTTAAAGTTAACTGTGTTTATCTCTTTATCCCACAAATCACTCATATCTAGCTCGCTTGCGTATTTGTGACGAGGGGGAACTAGTGAAATGCAAATATGGCCGAATGCGATTGAACGAACAAAACTGCTCCCGAGACACTGACGCGATATAGATGAACTGATCGATCCTGAGATTAATGCAATGCTACATTCATAATTCACAATTGGAAAGCAACGATTTGAAGTGATGGCAATATAAAGAATTTGAAGAGTACAACGATTCTGGTTGTTGATGAGTATCTCTTCACATCGACTGTCAGTTTTGCCTTCAGCCACTTACACGTTTAATTTCGTTGACGTTTCTTTTTTTTTTCTTTTCTTCAAGCAATTATGTAAAAGCCATCGAATGAGCCGCATCAGTTAAAAGATTGATGTCAATATTGTCTGCATCTCTGAGGTTCACTGAAAATTCCTCCTTTCAATCGGTAATTGCGTTCAATTTGTCGAAAATATGACAGCTAAACATTGAATGTTTTCAAGCAGTCTTTCTCGTAGGGGTGAATTACCCACTGAGAGATAATTTGGGGGTGTCACGAGGTAATTCAGGGCATAAAAAGTGAACTTATTGATAAATTTTAAATTCTCTATCGTCGAGGAACGTTTTTTCTTCATTGCGTTGCGTTGTTAATTGGTGAGAGCCATATTCTTTGTGCAGTTGATAAATAAAGTTCGAAAAATATTTGTTTCATTCCAGAAGATTAATTTCTTTCACACCACGGACGAATTCATGGACGATTTTCGGTTTGTTTCTGACGTTATGCATGGAAATTGTAAATTTTTTCGGTGGGAAGGGGGAAGGAGGAGTATTAATGTCCTGCTGGACTATCAAAGTGGGTAATGGAGCTTCCAAACGTGAGAGAAACATTGTTTTAATGTTTATTATTAGCTCGCAGTCATAAAATAGCGAGTGTCGCAAGCAGGCACAGCTGGTCATGCCAACTTGGCACCGCATATGTTTCACGCAATTATTTTTTATCAGGATGTTGAGCTGATGGTGAATCGGATCGACCGTTTGTGACTGCATCTAAAAGTCATTCAGGCTTTTTCATTTACTTAATCGTTGCGAATTTTCGCATCAACTCAACCACAAAATTCCCAGAAAACAATTCAAACAGATCGCTGGTGTACAATTGCGTTGAAAATCTCAAGTACAATTCTTGCAGCAGTCCTCAATTCCTCTCATAGGAGAGCACACACGTGCGAGCATATTGCAATTATATTAATGCATTATTGCAAAGTAAATGTGATATGTCTAGAGAGGCGTTGAAGTCATATTATTTGTGCACACATTATTATTTTCAAGAGTATTCCCTTCGGTCAGTGCAACACCTAAATGTTGGTTGCTATGGTCTTGGCTAAACATGGCATTCATAGCTCACTGATTCAGCAGAAACGATTCGTGCGCGATTTTTTTTTGCTTTTTTTTGAATTATGCACAAATAAAAATTTGATTTTCTGGTCGGCCAACTGTCAATAGCATGCTCAACATTTGTTAAGATGTTGAAGTTGTGGAACGTGATGAGTTCTATTGAAATCAAAATTATCCATTCATTTTTCCAAACGACTACTTCGATTCATTAATGAACAGAAGAATAACGCAAAGTTGTTTGGACTTGTCATTTTTGATGGCTTAAGAGCAAATTTGTCATCTGATGATGTAATGCTTTTGGCTGAGCATTTTTTGCNTGTGTGCACATAATTATGAACAATACACCAGAAAGCATAAACTTTAAAGAGTTGCTATTCATTCAACGAATCATTCAGTACTTCCGGCACTCCAGAAGCGCTCGAAGCACATGTGTTATATCCGTCCACTCATATTTCTGTCGAATCAATTCAACAGCAACGTTACAATTTACAAACAACAAATAATGTGCCTAACTTCACTAGATATTAGTGATTAAGAGCAGATGAAGTTGACCTTCCAGACGCACGTGTTCCTGGATTATGGTGAAATGCAAAAAGCAACACGAATGAGAAATAAATGGTTGCAAGTCGATCAAAATCTCGATTGAATTTGAGAACCTTCTCAGCATACGTATACGTTGTCCGATGTTCCCATAGCTAGAGGAAATTGATCACACTGCTGAGGATATGATGCATCAATTCATTGTTCTTCCACTGCCATATGAAAAACAGCTTGATATTGAAGTTAAAATTGAATTTTGAGTGGATATTTTCAAGAATCAAAGTTTGATGAGAATTTGACAGCGGAAATGTGCATGGAGTGGAATGAAGCGAATTTTGCACACCAAGCAATACACCTCCAACTGCGTGTCCACTAGAAGAATTGAAGCATCATCCATTCATAATAAAGCTGTCATGAACAAAAACAATAAACTGATATGTATCGAACGAGCGTATTCGATGGAAGTTCGTTCGTGGTTGTGAAGAAGAAAGCACTGATCTTCGTAGATTCTCGAGATGAGTATTGCGAACAAAAGAATACTTTCTCGTCTATAAAGCATCATCTTATAGCTGACTAACTTTCTCTTAACAGCATTATCATTATTGGTCATGTATCAAGTACTCCGAGATTTGTTGACTTCTGATGAGGACGACTGAAATAGGCGCATGAAAATTTTGCTTGTAAAGTATGAATTCGTTATGCTCCTGTGCAGAATGAATTTTCAGCCCGAAACATTTGATCAAGAGTTTGTTTATTAAGCACAGCCGACATTCAGATGTGTAGAGCTTATCGTTTACGATTAACACCGGCAACTGGACACACGTGAAATTGTTCACAGCTGGACAATTAAACAGTGGAGAACGAGATGAAAACTGATGAGTTGAGTTGACGGATTCGGTTCGAGCGGAAAATCATTTGTGAAAAAATCCAAAATAAGTACAACTTCAAAACAGTGAGCTAAATTTCAATGATGAAGCGCAAGCCATGTTCATTTTGAAAAAAATAAATCGAAGATGCCTGAAAATAACGACCCACTCAAAAAATGCGCTCAAATGATGAACTCTATGCAGTTTGACGNTTGACGAAAAAAAAATCTTCTAAACCTCAACTTCCAGAGCTCCAATACTCACTAAATTGCTCGAACGTGTTCGATCGTAATAATGCAAATGTTTATAGTAAAATTTTTTGCCGATTGGTATAATAATCAGCAATATCGTTCAGTTTCATCGCAGTTTAATCTCATTTTCGTTCCCAGCGTTATCCTACGGTAATACTCCATTGCAATTGATCAAAATATGCAAGTTGTATGTGCTCAGCATTCGCTGTTGCAAAGTAATATGGACTCGAAACATCCTCAGGCAGTCTCTCGAAATCTTTCGATGCACCATAAAATATCACAAAACATAAACGAATTCAGTTTCAGTACCAGCGACCTTGCGGTATATCCAAGTATCCTTTTCGGTATGCATTATGATCTCAAAACCTCCATACCGAACTGATTTCGCTTCTGTTACATTTCACGTTCTCTTCATAAGTTGCATTGGTAGATAAGTTGAATTTATTCATTGCGCTCCTCCGAAGAACATATTGAGTGGCCTCACCTTGCGGTACTCTGGCAACATCGCAGATTTTTTGAGAAAAAAGTGCGAGCGAGCTGTTGTATTAGAAGAGAGCGTTCGAGTTTGGAGCCTTCCGACTGAAATCAAAATTCCATATTTGTCCTTCACAAGTGCAATTTTGCTGAATGGTCTGTCCCTCCGTAAGTACATGAAATACGTTGTATCAACACTGGGGAATCGTATGGTGTAGAGAAATTGTTACTGGATAAACCTGAGAGTAGCGTTAGCTTGAAGGAGGTAACCTCTGTAGTGTTATAATAATGTATAGCTTGATCTACAGTGATACAATGTACATGAATGAGCGCCACTATGCTAGTTGAGATATAGATTAATGTGTACATTACTACAGCGCTATAGGAGTTACCATTCTCAAGTTAACGGTACTCTCAGATTTGCCCAGTAACATATCAATTCCTCCATGTCATTCGATTCCTCAGAACCTCTAGATTCAGAATATCATATATTTTGCTGAAATTTTTTTAAAGTTATCTCAATTAGTGTAGTGACGCTGATTTAGCACACAACTATGGTCATCGCATCGCTTTCTATAGTCAGTCTAATGGNAGTGAATTCAACTCATCATCATCGCTCAATATTGTCTTTATTTCGTCGCATTTTGTCGCTTCAAGCGCCCGGAAAATGTCCATCTTCTCGAATAGGTTCTTCCCTTACACAGTTTCCTTTCAGCCTCTGATCTCGTAAATCTTCCGGAGCGTAGAAATTTCTCGGAAGCTCTAAGCTTCATTCACTTCAACAATGAATCATTAAGTGAACTTCATATTGTTTTAAGCAGTAACTGTGAATTTGTGAGACTTATCGTAATTCAGTTCAAGTGAGATGATGAAATGGATGGCGACAATTGTATCACCAAGAAGTTCACGTGGTGCCGAAGAGCGACCGAATTTGGATGATGGCGATCGAATGATGATCGATTTGGTAATTGCTGAAGTGGAGAGTGCAGTTATTCGATTCGAAACCAAACAAGTTGGTTAACGTTCGAATAGAATTATGCGGGTTTTTAGGGTTGAATTTGAGGACTTTTGCTGTGAAATTTCAGAAAATCACCAAAANAAAATTGTGATTTTTTGATGTATGTCGTGTTTGACAAAGATATCAATGTGAAGGAATGAGAATGCTTACGGGTCAGTAGTGAGCGCTTATGGCTAGCCGTAAGCGATCTTAAGGACACAGTTGCTCACTCCATAATCAATTTTTCATGTTTTGCATGGCGTGTCAATCATTTCTGATATTTGTACGTGAACAAATGATGTTTGTAATGTTGCAAGTGAATTACTGACAAAGATTAGTGAGAATTCAAAGAAATTTGATGATTTGAGGAGATGCAACGTAGTGAGCGTTCTCTTCGTGAACGTATTCCGGATTATTCGTGGCTTGCAACTGATAGCTCGGCTAGACACCGCAAATATCTTTCAATGACGGTTGGTCGTTTTGCGTTTTCATATGGACAGTTGAAGTGCATAACTGAGAGTGAATGCATTGCCGAATCTGGAAACACCAATGAGCGTTCATTAAGGAACGATCGCGAGTGGAATCTGCGTGCTGTATGGTTATCGCAAGTGAATGGTCAACTCTGCTGGCGACATGGCGTTCAAGACTGCAAACGGTGAATGAACGAGAAGATATATTCGATGCATTCTCAACTGCCGTCTACGACATAATCGCGTCAAGACCACGCTCGAACACCCTCACCGAAGTCCTAATAAATTACATCAGAAAAGGACGAAGTCTTAATGCGGTACGTTCTCATTTTTCGTTCATCAAAGCAACAATACATTTTGTGTGTTGAGAATCACGTTACAATGATAAGGTTGTTGAAGTTAATTCAGGCTCTAACTTGACATCCTACAGTCATAATCGTATAGTTTTCGCATTTAATTCCTTGGCTTCATCAATGGATTACAGTTTCACCAGAAACTATTCACTGCCGATATCGTCACTTAGTGACGATATCGACAGTGAATAGTTTCGATGAACTGCATTTGGGCTTCAGCTTAGGTTAGGATTCATACCGAAGAATCATCTAAATTTTGGTTTATTGATAATTTAGCCCAGCTATAACAGAACAATCTATTTGCTAAATAGATATATCTCAGCCGACTCTCAATCTCGCAAAGTAATTTCAGATCGGTAATGAAACACCTCGATCTGATACAGCCGAACTGACATCCATCAGTCCACGATTTCCGCTGGACGATTTCCGTAATATTGTCTGATCGAATGCTGCGTAATTGGCTACTACGTTTGACTAAAACTAATGAATATTTGGCTAACTGATCATCCACATTCCAAAAAAATTGCAATGAACTGAACAATACTGAGGAGTTTTGTGAATGAATGCTTGTGTTCGATGGTGATAAATCATTAAACAACAAATAATATTTATTGTTCAATATTAGCATCACATTTGGCTCATTGTTTGCTCATCAAAACCATATAATAAAGAAATCGTTGACGAAATGCGAACATGGAACTATAATAGCTCATGTATAATACCTTGTTAGTATTACACAACATATCAAGCGATCAAAAAGCATTTCGAACAACACAATACGCTAAATGCGTTTGTGAATACGTCACAAGGTCAACGATATGCACTAGATGTGTTTTCACGATCTGAACGAGTTGTATTTCGATACATTTATCAGCTACATATTGCTTATTACCCAGCTCATGTTCTGATGAACGTGGAACTCAATTTTAACGATAGCAGTTATATTCTAAACATGTACTGAACCCATAATCTACTGAGAACCTACAAACCTTTTATAATGTGTGTTAGCAGAATACACATATAAATTTGATAAACGACATGCGACTGTGTCCAAACTACGAAACATTTCACACTTTTATACGAAATCAAATTATTGTGTCAATAACTTGACTCATTAAATTCCAGCCGCGAATTTCGAACGAACGGACAGTGAGAATTGAAGCGAACTCCAAGAGACTTTTTTCAGTTTGGAAAGGAAAGAATGGAAAGAAACGTTTCGCACTGAGGATTTTCAGTGTTAAACCCAAGCGAGTTTAGGCAT